TGAATAAATGTAATTCATTACTTTCCACCCCTGATGACAGTTTAGTTTATTAATAGTAAATTGAACATAAACTTCAGGATTTTGTGATAGAATTTATTGAAAGAAACAGATTTTAGCATATAGAAAATAGAGAAGATTAAAAAGTCACTTGAGCTTCACACAGAATCACTATTAGATTATATTTAATCCTACTTTAGAGATTTTCTAACAAATCGTTAATTTGACTGTAAATAAACAGAAACTCTACAGAGAAATGTCAGCATATGACTTGATTGAAATATGGCTGCACTATTAGGATATTTGCACCCTGAAATAAAAACATGCAAGTTATATGCGGTAAAGGATACAGTCTTTAATGGAGGCCTGTTCGATCCTCTGCAGCTCTGTCTCCACCTGCTTGGAATACTGACGGAGGTCCACACCCTGAAACACAGACATGAAGAGAAGAAAGGAACCAATAAAACACCAGCCTGAATGAAAAAACATGTTTATCATTGGCTTCATGCAAGAACATTTTCTCCTCATAGTTTGATGATTAAAATAAGCATCCTTAAAATAACTGTTGTTAAAATAAAGGATTTACAAACAAGTAAAGAAGTTAGTAATATATTTCAGCTAAATGAAACAGGTTTTATAAGTGGCATGTTTCCAATCTCTAAAGTGAAAGAATAAAGAAGACTTATCGAAGTCCGAAAAATTAGGTTGTTTTGCTATATTCAAATATCATCGTATGGTTGCATTATCATGCATTTACCGTTTTAAGTGCTTCTTTCACAAGATCATCTTCCAAGTTGGCCTGAATATGAACTGCAGGGAAAAGGAAGAATAATTAGTAATAAAAAAAACCTGCAGAAATGTTAGATCAGTGTCTCTCCCAGGCAAGAACTTCTCCCTTACTTGAAGACGCCTTTGACAGAGAAACATTTGACAGGAGAATAAAACAAGGGTAGATCTTTAAACACCTGAGCAGTGTGATGTATCATGATTCGAACTAATAAAAATGCAGTTTTTTATATGAAAAAAAGAAAACCTGATCACAACTATTTAAAAAAAGCTCATAATAAAGGACTTTACTGTGCTTTAAGTGATAATTTACTTATACATATAAATAGGCCATCAGATGAACTGCTGACCGGATGGATGGATGTTAACCTTTTTCCTCACTGGCCACTTTAACTAGGAGTTTTCCAAAGTAAGCATTTTCCCTAGCCACAATTTTGTTGTTAAGAAACTGTTTTATATAATTTTATGAAGCAGACTATGACATGCTATAGTTTACGTGAACAAGATTTACAAGTTTCTTTAAGTGTAAATGACCTTTGTACACACTCATTTTAAGGCCAGGTCATTGTTAAGGATTGAGCTCTGATAAGGTTCTCTGTAAACCTCCTTTTTTTAAATATGCAGTAAAAAAAGTAATAAAAAGTCTGGCTTGACATTGCACACTAAAAGTGGTGAAGGGGAGTAGACAATTAACTTTAAAGAGAAAAACAAATGTGAAAAAAAAAACACTAATAAGAAACCCTGTTTGAATATTAATTTACAGAAGTGCGTTATAACAGAGCAGATAAAATATTTGCATGACAACTAGAATAAAAAAAAACCTAATAAATACAGTAAACTGTATAATTTTCTCACTTGGGTCGTATACCAACCATTCCCGACCTGCTGTTTCCAAATTGTTATCAAACTACCCTTTTTTTCCGTTTTGATTGTTTTTAAATGCTTAAGTGGCATAGCACCTTTATATCTGTCTGAGCTCCTGTCTGCCTGTGCCCCATCCAGAGCACTTTGTTCAACTGACCTGATCCTCCTGGATGTGCCCAAAACCAGCATGAAAACCAGAGGATGTAAAGTTTTTGCCATTGCTGCCCCCTGGCTGTGGAACGGTCTGCCCCGCAGCATCTGCTTGGCCCCAACTCTTAGCGGTTTTAAATCCTCCCTTAAAGCCCACCTGTGTGCACAGGCTTTTTTTGTATTAAATTGTGTCTTATATGTTTTTTCATATTTTTTTTTTTTTGGTCCTTTACACTATAGGTTATTATGCCTGTTTGAATTTTATTCCTTGCTTTTATGTGTGTTATGAATCACTTTGGGCGGCAGTGTTGTTGTAAATCTGCCATAGAAATAGAGTTGACCTTCACCTTTTCTTTGGATCTCCTTCCTTCGTCTCATCTGCTCTCTGGGTTTTCTGACACCTTGAATGGGTTGTGGCATTACTGCCCCCACTGTTCTCCATAAAGCAGAGATGGGAGATCCGGAGTCATCAAGTCATCTCTATGTTATGTATTTGTTCTGAACAGATGAGTCTAATCTGCACAGATTGGACTCATCTGGTTCAGTAACTGGGTAGAACAAATACATGAGAAAGAGATGACTTGTTGACTCCAGATCCCCCCATCTCTGCCATAGAGACTGCCAATGTAAAGTGATGTTGGTCATAAACAGACCAATTAGCAAACACTGTGTGCAAGTGTTGCTCATGGATCTTGTAGCGCCAAATATTCAGGTTTGTTTACTACTTCAGATGCCATTTCAGAAAACTACAAAAAAAAAAAACAACAAAAAAAAAAACAACAACCTATTTTTACCAGTTTAGAACTGGTAAATCATTTAAAATACAGATTATGTGCTGCTGAAATGTCTTCATGAATAAAACCAATTTCAGCATATGACCTTGGTAACCAACATTTGAACTATATAAAAAATAACAGGTGTCTTACTGTCCACTTCATCCAAGATGAACTCATCAGTGGTCAGGTCCAATTCCCCCAAGTTGAGGTTAGTAATGTCTCCATCTGTCTTCTAGAGGGAAATGGAGACAAAACCATTTCAGAAAACTTCCCTAGAGGTTTATCTTATTTTGTGGTACAACCCTGCTGTTTTGTAGGCTATTAAAAGGTAAAGCAAGCAGACACAAATATATAATCATCATCCTAGTAAAAATATTATTTTATGTGAAACACATTCACTGTCTACTCTCGGTGGGTTGCATGGGGTCTGCTTGAATATATACCTCCCTGTCATTCATTGAGGCACCAAGGTTTAAGTAAGAATATATTTCTCATTTTAATAATAATTTCTACTTCAAAGTCTACTAAGTTACTCTTTTCTAGTGTAAACTAGAGATATTAGAATACTGTTACATATAATTCTTTATAACACAAGTTGCACAAGCAGCTACTTTAAAAAGATGGAAAACACACACAGAGGTAACAATGGTTAACCAATGGCTGTCATCAAACCATTCATTATTTGTTTATTACTATTTTTCGATGTTCACAGAAGATCATCTATATCAAATGTGTCACTTTATACAAAATAAAGAAATAAAATAAAATGAGTCGACAATTGGACATGATAGCTTTAAGCCATTTTTTTTAAATGTATAACCGGATGAGGTTGATTCCCGTAACACTTCAAAACATTTAAGTGTTTTTCCCTCACAAAATGCTATACAGCCAAAGTAGTGAACTGTCACCTCATCTTGTAGATATGCCATGGCGATTTCTGTTGGGTTCCCTGTTGTGTTTACGTTGGAACCAGCTTCAGTAGAACCAGCTACCCCTTCCGCCATTGCGGCTTATTTATGCTAACGTAGAAGACATAAAGGGAAACAAATAAAACAAATCTAAGGTTCCGGAATACCATTAACACTAAATCAATTTATTTTCCTTTCAAATTAGCTAGATATATGCCACGAGTTAGTCATATTATACACACAATTAAAATCAAATACATTTTAAAGCTTTAGTTTTTCTGTAAATTAACCCTAAATTGTGTAGAAATCGCGACCCTTACGGATTCACTAAATATGAGGGACCGACTTCCTTTCAAAAAAGGCCCAAAGTCTCGCGAGAGGTTTTTGTCTTCCTCTTTGCACGGAACCTGCTTCCAAGATGGTGAGTTAGTTTTCCCTACAGCCCAATACGATTTTAAAATCCGTAATCATCGTGCCTTTTTTCGCTTTCTTTGGTTTATACACATATCCTCTTTTATTATACGTATCTTGCGGTTTCGCTGTAACGTAGTATCGTTTAAATATTCGAGGCTGTATTTGAAATAGATCACCCTAAATTATCAACGCTGGTTAGCAGCGGACAGTCCCTAAAGCTAAATAGCGCCAACGCACAAATGTGTCTAGTCTTCGTCTGTGTACTGTACTGAAAATACTTTACCGATGCGCCAATAAAATAAATGCTTGTACATCTTATTTTGTTAATATGAGGCCCAATCTTAATTACAATGCCCCAGAACAACTGTTGGAAGTATTCCACCGGTTAGCTAGCTTCGAAGTTAGCGTTATCTACGGCAAAACAAATAACAGCGGTATTTAATGTACAATTTAAATTGTAGAAATTTATTTGCTTGTGTGATTGGACCTGAGTTAACCTACATATCCAGAAAGGCTTTTGATCAGCAGAATTTCCCTGTTTATACCGAAAAGTTAATAGCGCCTTGTTCTTATGTGGTTCTGTTGTTTGCATGTGATCTTTGATTGTCTTTAAGATTTACTGTTTATGGTTTCAGTCTCTGGTCATCCCTGAGAAGTTCCAGCACATTCTTCGTGTTCTAAACACGAATATCGATGGCAGGAGGAAGATCGCCTTTGCCATCACTGCCATCAAGGTATATCTGACGAAGATTTAGCCCTTTGAAAACATAATGAAGTGTGTGCTGTTGCATATTTAAGGGAACAATATATTACTCTGTCTCATTTAGGGTGTAGGCAGACGCTACGCTCACGTTGTCCTAAGGAAAGCTGACATTGACCTCAGCAAGAGGGCCGGCGAGCTCACTGAGGAGGAGGTATGACAACAATTATTTGCTCCTGGTCTGGTCGACATATTACAATTATAGTCAACGCTGATGTGTTTTGAATGGTTAGATATATTTATAACATTCTATTTCACAAGAAGGATTGTTATATACTCTAACCAATGCACAATTTCTTTGCAAATCGACTGTAAAAGAGTAGATTTTGTTTCTTGTCACTGGTCCACTCCCGATTTAAAACATCTTTTGCAAAATATGGGCTGCTGTGGGTTTTTGTTTTTCCTTTTCGAAGCAAGTTTTATTGTGCTTAACTTTTTATAATCAAGAGATTTTTCTTGCCAGATTATTTAATTTTTGATCATCCCTTTTGGTTCTCCTGTCTATTGTCACTTTATTTTAATTGGCAATTTATTAACCTGTATATCAGACCCACAACCAAGGAAATGGTGTACTAATATAGACATTATTGACAAAGTTTTGCTTCAATTCATCAAACTACTTAACCAGCATAATCTGTACAAAGGCAACTTTATTCGTGTAGCAAAATTCAAAGTGCTTCATATTAATTGGATAGTAAAATGGAAGAAAAATAAACTAGACTAAAATCATGAGCATTTGTAAAGTTTAAGAGCAAAGTAAACAGGCTGCTTGATTACTTATTTATTTACTTATTGTTGGCTGTGTCCTTATAAGGAGTTGGTTTAAAGAACATTTAAGACCCTAAGCGTGTCAATTAAAGATTTTAGATATATACACAAGAGTTTAAAAGCTTCTGATGTTTAAAAAAATAAAAATAGACCATATTCACGTTAATACTTTGTCCCAAGTACTGGATCACACTGAAATGCGTCCATATTTTCTTCTCCAGGTTGAGCGAGTAGTAACTATCATGCAGAATCCTCGGCAGTACAAAATCCCAGACTGGTTCCTTAACAGGCAGAAGGATGTTAAAGATGGCAAATACAGCCAAGTAAGTGATCAACAGTACCAAGTTGGGGCTCAATCCAAATGAAAAACATTGAATATTGTGGAGTTTTTAGATGCATTTTTTAATGAGTTTAGTTACTCATCACCAATGTGTTGCTCTGTAGGTCCTCGCCAACGGTCTGGACAACAAGCTGAGAGAAGATTTGGAGAGACTGAAGAAGATCAGGGCTCATCGTGGTCTCAGACACTTCTGGGGGTAAGATTTGAGTGTTTAAGTTTTGAAGGACAAATGTTAGCTCTGTCAATGCAGAACCTTGTTTACTAGAAGCTATTTTGTCCTCACACCAGTCTGGGTACTTTAGGGAATTTGTTTCATAATGCTGTGAGAACAGTAAGAGCAATGTTGCAGCAGAAAGTGTTGGGCCTTCCTATTGAAGACAGATCTAATGAAGTTTAAAACTACAAACTGGGGGTATTTAAAGGTGAACAGATGAATGGTGATGAGAGCCTATCCTGGAGAAACTTGAGTTCCCTTTTTGCTGTAAAAATGAAGTAAATGCAAATGTATCCCTGTGCTGCAGAGGAAAAGATGACTTCAGTATGAGATGGGGGTACTTGCATATGCCATACTGTTTTTTCCAGACTGTAGAGGGCACCTTACAAGGTTTTGGGGTTTTCTTTACCGCAAAAATATAAATGGATATATTGATAGATACAAAACTGCCATCTACAAAGGAAACATGCTGCATATCACCTACAGAGTACGTAGGAAGAATGCTAGCTTACGACTAGTGCTTCTGATGAAGGATGGGGCTTCATCGGTTTTATTTAATCTCTGCAGGAGTTGCACACAATCTCTTAGTTCAACTGCTTTAATGTTAAAATGCAAAAGTGCCTGCTGCTAGCTTGTGCTCAATGAAAATTTGCCCCATGATTGATTTCCAACCACTGGCAGTTAGAAAAAAGTCTAAATGGTTTAAAGTGTGGGAAACTAGTGACTCGTAGTCTGAAAAGTGGCCATTTTAGAACATTTTTGCTAGAGCTTCTCGTAAATTGAAGTACCAATTGTGAAATTCTACAATTTCTAAAGAATATTTACTAGTAAAAACAATCTTCCTTCAAAATGAGTGATTTAACTTTTGCTGCTTTTTTTCCCCCTACAGTCTCCGTGTGCGCGGTCAGCACACAAAGACAACCGGCCGCCGTGGTCGCACTGTTGGTGTGTCCAAGAAGAAGTAAATTCCCCTGCTTCCCGTTGTTTCAATAAAGCGCCACACTTGACAAAAAAGCTCCTGGTTTTGCTTTATTTTTTTTCTCAATTCAAATATCCTGAACTCAGTTTAAATATTTAATTGTTCAGAATCTGTAACGACAAGAATAATTAATCCATTCTTATATCCTAAAAGTAAACTGCGGTTGCAACAAATAAAGTGCAAAAAACAAGAAGCATGGTTGAAAAAGTTCAACTCAAGTTAGGAGCCTTGAAAGGCCTATATGGCTTTTTGTCTTTCAGGTGAGGGGAGAAACATACGGTAACTAAAGCTGTTAATGTACAGATGCATGGGAAAAGGATTCATATGACATGTAAGAAATTATCCTGCCTTTTCCAGTTGTCACAGAAAATGCTGAAAGCAAATCAAAAGTGGGATTCCAAAATTAAAGAAATGTACAATACGAGAAAAGTAAAAAAAATAACCCCCATCCAGTTAATATACATATCTTCCCCCATAGCATTGAAAGTCACAGCTATGAGTCAGTCATTGAGAACAAACGGGCATCTGTCTGTATCAGGATAGACTGCCAAGCAATATAAGGTTTTTACAAATACACCCACATCAGGGTTAAAGCTTTAATCTTTGCTTTCCCACGTGGTAAAAAAACACAAAATGAATTAAAGACTATAAATGAAAACCTAAATAGGGAATGGTACATCTAATAATTGGAAGAATATACATTGGGATGATTAACAAAACTGGGGAATGACAACATTGTCATGATGGAGAAATCTCTGACTTATTAAAATGAGTTTTAAAAAGTCCTCTCTGCTTCAGTTTTTGTCACAAATGTCAGCTGTTGAGCTGATTACAAACTGAACTAGGCAAATCATTCAAAATAGATGCTATATTATAAAGAAAGTGATGTTCTTTGAGCATTTGATCAGGAATGTGGCTCTGAACTCATCCGTCCTGTGGTGGAGGAGATTTCTGCTGCTGTGTTGCTTGTGGCTGCTGCTGCTCCTTGGTAGGAGCGTAATAAAGCTCCAGCGGCTTCCGGACCTTCCAGTACTTTTCATTAACCAACTCCAGAGTCAGAGAACCGTTGAGAGTCTGGAGGGAATAAAGGTTAAAAACGGGTGACCCTCCCAGAAAGATTTCTTTACACATCAACAAACTATCCTTAAATGATTAAGATTAAACCTTAAAAGGGTTCGACTCACAGAAAATTGTCCTCCCTTTGTGGTTATGTAGATGGTGTATTGTTTTTCACTGATGTTACTCAGACTCGACCCTTCTCCACTTCTTGACGCTCCCCCGCTTCCACCTTCTTCTGTTTTATCTCCTCCCTCCTCTTTTCCTCTGTTCTCAATTTGCCCATCAGTCTGTCTTTCTTCAAGTGCGATGCGCAGAGCCAGGTACTTTGACAGATGGTCCACTGTGGCATTGGCTGTTGTCTTCACATATCTGTAAAAACAACTGACAGCATTAACAATGGGTCATTAAAAGTCATTAAATAAAATTTTTTTCCCCCTTAATTGGCATTAAAATTAATTAAATTTGATTACTAAAATGCTTTATAAAAAAAAAAACGTTTAAAAAATTTTTCTTCAGATATATTGTATTGCAATATATTTGCACGGAACTGCTTCCTGTTGATTGTAAAGCCGTATGTCCGGAAAAGAAGCATGAGGCGGAGAAAAAGCTAGAGAATGGGAAAATGCAAATTTCAACAAAAGTGGCTGAAAACAAGGAATTTCGGGACATGGATGCAGCCTGTCAACAGTAAAGATGACAAAAGATTTTGCCATATATATGATAGTCATGGGTACTTGTTGATGGCATTTAAATTATTTCTAAGAGCATTTAAAAGCATTAAATTAGAGTTACTCATTCCTTTATAAACCCCGAATAAGGATAAACAGCAGCTCTACGCCTAAACATCAATGTAGCCGACCAATGGCATTGTTTTTTGGGGAAAACCTGGTCATCACAGAGCTCTGGTCTGAGAGAGGTTATAATGTTAGAGCAGGTTTTTGTTCCACAAAGACCTGTTTGCCACTTGGGATGGATTTTGCTTTTGAATACAGAAGTAATATAAAGTTTTAGATAGGGATGCACGATATAATCAGCCCCCTATCGGTATCAGCCTTCAAACTGAATATCG